ATGAGGACCCAGACTGTGGGGGCGATATGCTGACTCTGTAAACCGCTTAGAGAGGACTGAAAGCCCTATGAAGCGGTATATAAGTCTAACTGCTACATCTTCAGAGCATTTTTCTCCTTCTTTTACCTTTTTTAAGGGATCTTACCTGTGCTTTGTGTTCAAGTGAGCCGAAACTTAGTGATGTTGTCGCCTTCTAAAAGGTGAGACTCTAAATCATCACTCAAGGAACAGAAGAAGAAGATCAGCATTTCCCCCCCACAAGGTGGACAAACTAACGACTCCAGAGGATTCCCACAAATCTCTGAATGATATCTAGTCAACCAGCAGAGGTCAGACTAGAAATAAGGGACTGGCATCCTATGGCTGGCACGGACAACGATTCAACGATGTTCAGCTTCTTCTTTGACTCATTACTTCATGGAGAAAAATTCTGCAGTGGTTTAACCCTGGAGACAATGAAAGTGGAAATACTCCTGTCCCGGGCGATGTCTACGGAGGCTCTCCTTCATCCAGGTCATGGTTGTCTCATGCTTTTTTGTTTCAAGAGGCAACTGGTTTTTCTTTGAAGACGTTTTCGCCTCTCATTCAAGAAGCTCCTTCAGCTCTTGGGAGGAGAAGCGGAACGTCTTCGAGGAGCTGAAGAAGCTTCCTGGATGAGAAGCGAAGTGTCTCCAAAGACAAATCAGAAAATCCAGATGCCGGAATGATGGAGAGCCTCCGTAGACAACACAGGTCAATGGAGAACCTGATGAGGCCGTACCATTTCATTGATGCACGTTGCAAGGAGGACAGGCTATCCTTCGGTTTCCATCTGACTTCTTCAAAGCCAGAAGAACGGTCCCAAGGTTTCAACTACCGTATTTTTTGCTCCATAAGACGCACCTGACCGATGCACTCCCGTTTTCCGCCTCTGCGTGTCCCCCCCTTTGTGGAGATCGAAAACAGGGCATAGAGAGGCCAATAATGGGACGCGTCCAGCCCAAAAACGGGGAATGCGGAGGCCAAAAACGGGGCACACAGGCCAGAAATGGGACACATTGAAACCAAAAAATGTGGTGCGAAGTCAAAAATGCGGCACACAGAGGGCAAAAATGGGATGCACCAAGGCCAAAAATGGAATGCATGGAGGCCAAAAATGGGGTGCGTGGAGGCCAAAAATGGGGTGCAGAGAGGCCGAAAATGGGACACACGGGCCAGAAATAGGACACATCGAAGCCAAAAACTTGGTGCACAGAGGTCAAAAAGAGGGCACACAGAGGGCAAAAATGGGACACGTCGAAGCCAAAAACGGGGTGCGCGGAGGCTGAAAACGTGGCACACAGAGGCCAGAAATGGCATGTGTCGAGGCCAAAAACGGGGTGTGCAGAGGTAAAAAATGGGGCACACAGAGGCCAAATGTGGGACACGTCGAGGCCAAAAACGGGGTGTGCAGAGGTAAAAAATGGGGCACACAGAGGCCAAATGTGGGACACGTCGAGGCCAAAAACGGGGTGTGCAGAGGTAAAAAATGGGGCACACAGAG